ACGCACGGTGGCGGGGCCGTGGTGGCAGCTCAGTACCAATATCATCCGGGCACATTATCTGGGTTTTTTTCTATGAAAGTGTTCACGGCGCTTCCTTCAAGAGACAAACGAGGCGCACGCTCCTGCCACGTTCTGAGGGGAAGAGCTCTGGTATCATTTTCCTGCCGAACGCGTTTCCCAGGCGGCCCCACGCGAGCGCTGCCCCTGGCCCGCGCGTGGACAGAAGCACATCTACACCTCTTTGGTTTGTACTTTCTGACGTTGAAACTTGCCTTGCCTTCATGAAAACCACACCGGTCATGTTGGCCCATTGAGCTGTCCTAACCCCGGGAATTCACTCTTCCCGTTTTCTTTTGGGGCAACGTGTTTGTGAACAGTGACAACATCACTATGCTATGCAAACTAAGTGCTGAGCCCACTGATGTCACGTTTGGTGAAGATCCTACGTTTAGCACAGTCCTGTTTTCCTCAAGACCACACTGTTTGGTTCATATCCTCCTTTGCACCTTGTGTCAACCTCCACTGCTGTATATCCTCAAGGTGACGGGGAGGAGACCAGGACCTATCTGTGGTCAGTAGGTAGGGAACTCTTAGGAAGGCTTTTAGAGCGTAGGGAACACATCAACACTAAGTGTCAACATGAGAAGCCTACATTCCTCTACACAAGTGCCTGCATAGTGACACCAATCAGCACCTCCATCTCATCCTCCGAACTCTGACTTACGTTCATTGAAAGCAAAACAATCTCAGAGGGGCTGTTCCCGCTCACCTGGTGTTAGAAAGCTCCTCATTAAGAATAAAATCGGGGTCAAGGTCAAGGTTCTCTCTGCAAATCAGTTTGTTCACCAGCATTACACCGGAACGCGCCTGGCTGCTGCTCTGCAGTGAGGGGCAAAGGTATTTTGGTTCCTCGTTTTAATTTTAGTGTTTTAGTTGGGTCTAGATTTCTGAAATGTCTTTTAGTAGCTGTGGCATAGCACGTGCCATTTTTAACCATTTGAAAAGAGATAGTGTGGGCATTTACAGAAACAGCTTGTTGCTCTGTAACAATTTTTTTTAACCTTGAGACTTGAAATGTAAAATGGACCTTTAAGATTTGCACTCATTTGTAAGGTGGCTGTTCATAGAAAACTATGAATGAAGACTTGCTGATGTAGCACCTACTTTTAACAGCAATTTTAACTACACAAAAGCTTCACAGCTTCTGAAACTTTCAGCTGTTGACTTGCAGATCGTGTTCTGCCCTTTTTTCACCCTCTGCGTTGGGTTTTCATGGTTTTGGATAAACAAAACAGCCAAACTCAGTAGCTGCTGTGCCCTTTAACCCCTGTTTCCACTTTGAAGAAGTTTAGAGAGGTTGGAGTGACCCGCATGTTTTCTATACCGGACTATGCACCGTACCCTCTCCGCGCTCCGGCATCGGCATTTCTCCCCCTCTCTTGTCTGAGATGCAAACGAGTAGCTGCATGTTGAGGTGCGTTTTGCTGCCTGTAGCGGATAGGTGTTACCCCAGGTACATATCAGGATCTGTAGTTAGCCACAAACCCCACACAGGCATCCCGATCAGCTCCGAGTCTCTGCCTTCTCGAGGTCCACCTGCGCCTGGAAGCATTGCCGAGCGCGTGCAGTTCTGTGGGAGGACGAATAGCTTTCCTTTACCTGCAGAATGCTGTTGTTTCCCTTATCTCATATCTGAGCAGAACGGGGTGGGAGGGCTGCTCTGCTCTCTCCCCACAGCTTCCAGGGCAGTCGGGGTGTTCCGGGATCGCACACGATGTCTCAAACAGCCCAAGCATCCAGCGTTGCCTCGCGGAAGGTTTTCTTCTTGGAAAATCAGTGTGAAATAAAAGAATGTGATTGTTTCAGGAAGGGAAGCCAGACAGCAGGAGAGCAATAAACAAGTGAAATTCATATCTTGCCTGAGTGATTTGCACTTCAATAGTTGTGAAAGGAAATTTCCAGGACTCCAGTGCTTTTGTGTTCGATTTCCAGCCCCTTTCGTACCTCCTTTCTATGAGCAAGTGTGGGACTGTACATAGGGTGTTTACAGGACGCTCCGTTTGGGTTGTTATTTTTCTTGTGGGTTTTTTTTTTGCTCTAGCTTGAACTCTGTATGGTCCATTTGTTAAATAGCCGTGAACAGTTGATGTACAGTACTTACTAAACAAGCAGCAGCACAAAACTTATTTTATTAAGAAAATATGGCTTATATTTTAAAGGTTGAATATCAATTTTTTTTTTTGTATGTGTGGAATTAAGACTGGTGAAGAGTAACAAAATCCTTGGATTAGGCCAAAAGAAAATACTGTAAGATCCTAACCACCTCTTTATTAAAGAAAGCAGTATGATTAAAGAGCTCCAGAACATTGTATTTATATTGGATTTGATTTAATTGCCTTTGTGGATTTTTTTTTTTGCCTTGGTCCTGATTTTTGCTTGCAACTTCGACTTTGCAGTCCCAAGTGTCTGTTACCCTGTAACTGTTGGCAGAAGACCTAAATAAAAGCAATGTGAATATGTCGGGGTGACACTCCTGAGTCACATCTCATGGGGAAGGGACATGTGCATCCCAGCCATTCCCTCGGGAAAGGCTGGGGGACAAACAGGGAAACGCTGACTGGAGCTGAATTGCATCAGACACTGCAGAGGAGCCAGCACCCCTCACTGTCCAGATCTCAGTTCAATGAGAGAAACACTGAAGCAAACAAATACGTGCTTAAAACTTCTGGGAATACAGTACAATTCTTTTTATTAAAATGTCACCTGAGAACCGACTGATTTTGGGCTCCTGGGTTATTAGATAACAGAAATGTACACCAAAATCTGCTGTTCCTCCAGCCTCACTGAGTGCTTCAGGGGCTCTTGGCTCTGAGGTGCTTTAAGGACAGATTTCAGACTCCTTTTGGATTGAGGTTAAACTTGATCCTCTGGGTTTCTGCACTGCCTCATCTTTTGCATTTCTCATCATGTTTTACATCTCCCAGCTTTGCAAATCTTGCAAACATCCTAGTCTGCTCCAATGCCAGCAGCTTGTGGTTGAGTTTTAGGGTCCAGAACTGGAGGATTTTTGCCATCCTCTGAGTTCTTTGTTGGAGGAGTTCTTTGTTTTACCTTACAAAGATGCAGGGGCAGACCTTAAGCCAATGAATGATTTAGCAGTTGAGCTGTAACTGGGTTTTTGAATAATGCCAAGGAATTTTAAGGAAGTGCTTGCTAATGGCATGCAGGCACTTGTCAGTTAATTTACCTAACGGCAGCACCAGAAAGTTCTGTCCCGAGCTGGGCACCTGTGCAGGTCCTGCACACATCCAGCTGCTTTGTGGGTTCTAGCACCTATTTTACACGATTCCTCCTACATAACAGAATCTTTAGCAGTTTTAAAGGTTTTTTTTTCTGTGTGAGGTACAGACCAAATTGTGCTTTCTGCAGCTGGGTCCGGAGTCCTGGAAAACAGGTCAGAAAACTGGTTTCAAGTGTTGGATTAGCATTTGAGCCCCGGCCCTGGTGCTGATTACAGTGCCCGAGCTGTGGGACCAGATGTGCTGCCCCTGAGGGATGTGTGTGTGCAGAGATGCCTCTCCCACGTATCTGCTTCATCCTGGAGATCACATTTCCCACTCCCCATTTCAGTTAAGGAAATATTCTAACAGGTTACCTTTCATTTGCATGGGTTTAAAATCCTTACTGTGTCATGTACCTTAAAACTAAATTTATGCTTTTAATTCAGCTGGGAATCTTCAGGATGGTAATTCTTAACAATGACCCTGACATTTGGATTATGGATCTTTAACTTCTCTTGGCCCAAAATTCCAGTTCTTTGGTACCTTCCTAGTTGTTTCCCAGGAGAAGGCCCCTCTCACTACCAGAAAGTGACATTGTTTCTTCACAAGGAGTAGCAGGTTCAAACCCATTTGGGTAAATCTCAATATACCGTTCTTACAAAAAAAAAAAAAATTAAAAAGTGTTTTGAGGGCAGAGGAAATAGATAAAGGTGTCACTGCCTGACCCAGCACTGAGCCTGCTGCATCTGTCACATTCTAATCTCTTCTCCACATGCCATTTGCCCCTTTCACCCCTCTGCTTGTTTGGTGCCAGTTTGTGTAAAATATCCCTAACACAGTGGTACTGAACATTGCTAAAGTCTCAAAAAATGAGGACAGGGCAAGCATAAGCTCTGAATTTATGTTGATACAGTGAATCATCGAATCATGAATCACGGAATATCCTTAAATTGGAAGGGATCCACAAGGACCATGCAGCCCAATGCCTGGCCCTGCGCAGACACCCCAACAATCCCACCGTGTGCTGAGAGCGTTGTCCGAGCGCTCCTGGAGCTCTGGCAGGGCCGGGGCCGTGGCCATGCCCCGCGGAGCCCGTTCAGGGCCCGACCACGCTCTGGCTCCCGCAGCTGTCGCAGCCGGGCTCGCTCCGTGTCCCGGGCCCCGCCGCCCGGAGCGGGGAAGCGTGCGGGCCGTGCCGGCGCTCCCAGCCGCCGCGTCCGCGCCCCGCGCACGGCAACACTCGCGGGTCCCCGGGGCCAGGGCTGCACGGGGGGCTTCTTCTGTGTCAGTGAGGACTGAGAAGGCATCAGCTCAGCTCCTTGGGGACCGGGCTGGAAGCCCTCGAAGCGGCCGCACAGGCAGCCGCTCCGATAGGGAGAAAACGCCGCGGACATAGCGCACTGTACTGAAACACCACAGCACCGCGGGGTCGGGAATAACCCCCGGTGCTTCTGCTCTGACTCCCGCTGGGCTCGTGTGTGTCACGTCCCGGCCCCGCCATTCCCGCTCCGGGCAGCCGCCGCTGCCTGCGGGGCTCCCCCGCGCCGCCCCGGCCCTGAGGGCCCCGCCGCCTTTCCCGCCTCTCCCCCCTCCCCAACCCCACCGTTGCCGTGGCAACCGCGCCGGCTCCCGCCCCGCCCGCTTCCGGCGCCGCTTCCCCTTCCCCCGGAAAGGCCGGGGCGCGCGCGGGGGCAGGGGAAGCGCGGGCGGGATTTCCGGCGTGCGGGGAGCGCGCGCGCGGCGGGGCGGGAGCGGCCGCGCGAGCCGGGGCTGCGGGGCGGCCACGCCACTTCCGCCTCCGCCGCCGCGTGAGGGGCCGGGAGCGCCGGGAGCGGCGCCGGGAACTCCGGGAGCGGCACCGGGAGCAGCGCCGGGAGCGGCCCAGCCGGGAGCGCGGCGGAGGAACCGCCGCCTAGCGCAGCTCCGCGCCGGCCGCCGCAGCCCCGAGCGGCTGCGCCCCAGCTCCATGAATGGAAATCGGCAGCGCAGGTGAGCGCGGGCCCGGCGGGGCCTGGCGGGCTCGGGGAACGGGCCCCCCCGCGCCATCCCCCACCAGTCCCGGTGCCCGCCCCGGTGCCGCGGGGCAGCGGCCGGGCCGAGCCCATCCCGAGGGGCATCGGGCGGGAGGAGCCGAGCCCCGCGGGCAGGGCCCCGGTACCGGGCACAGCCGGGGCCGAGCCGCTCCGTGCCCTGCTTGCCGTGCCGGGGGTGGAGGAGGAATTGTCGGTATTTCATAACCGGTGTGCCCGGCTTGCGTAACCCGCGCCGTGCCGGTGCCCGAGGGACGGACCCGCAGAGCCCGGCGGGACCGGGCAGCGCTCCCTCGGGCAGCCCCTGCCGGGCACACGCCGGGTGTTTGCCCCCTGTGTGTCAGCACGCTGAGTTTTGGGGCTAATTCCTGTGCCTTTGGCTGTGCTGCTTCACAATAATCATTCCGAGGTGATTATTCTTGTTGCCCGGAGAAGCTGTGGCTGCCCCACTCCTGGGCAGTGTCCAGAGCAAGGCTGGATGGAGCTTGAGCAACCTGGGCTACGGGAAGGTGTCCCTGCCCATGGGATGGGCTTTAAGGTGTTTTCCAACCCAAATCGTTCTGTGATTCTATGAAAATCTTCACGTTTTGACTGTTTGATCCTTTTGCGGGGAAGGCACGTGCTCAGTATTTATCAACTTTGTGGTTTAAATGGATTTTGGGGGTTGGAGAAGGAAGTTCTGATTCAGTTTTTCAAGATAGCTTATTCCAAATCTGGCAGAACAGCGGAGGAGGGTTCAGGGTTGGGCAGTGTTTAATCAGCAATTCCCTGGCTGTACCTCGATGGCAAAGGGAATGTCCAAAGCCACCTGGAGTTCCATGTCTGTCACTCGAATAGGTACCACAGGTGCTGAAAATACAAGGCTGAGACTGAAGGTATCAACACAAAACGTGTCTTCCCATCTCCATATGGAGATCCTTTTCTAACATACTTGGAGGTTTAAGGACAACGATGCATTTGGCTGGAAAAACTCTCTACCTCAGCTGTTGCCTGGCTTGAGATTGTGATGGGTTGAAAACATTTTAAGGTGCAGGATTTTAACAATCTGGTGGAATTCATATGGTGCTCTCTTACATGGTGTTAAATAAACTCTAATTATAACGTGGTGCAGTTGTAGTTGTCTCCTGATAATCAGATGTGCAAGAGGAACCCGTAAACGGTTTAGTTTTCCTTTGGAGTGAGTTTACCTGTTTTTAGGCTGCAATGTGTTGGATTTTAGCAAAGCTGCTGCAGTGTTCAGCAGGATGGATGGTTCTTCTTATGCCTAGGGAAGTGTTAAGTGCAGTGTTCACGTTCCAAGTCTTGGGGTGTTGGAGCAGGAGGACACAAACCATCCTTGGTGGAGCAAATGAGGGTTAAAGCTCTGTCATGAAGGAGAGAAAGACACTGAGACGTGCTTTGTTTTCTGTGCATGAAAGGAAAACATGGGATAAAATAAGCAGAGAGAGGAACAAAGACTGGAGAGCGAGTATCCCTGGAGTAAAGTGTGGAAGTGTGTGCCAGGACATCTTGGGTGAAGCAGTGCTGTGGTGATGTCCTGTCTGTGTGAGAGGCTTAGGCTGAGGAATCTGGGAAGTACTGTGGCTCTCCTGCTCCATGGAATTTGAACATCACTGAAAGTAGGAGCAGGATGGGAAGGTGGCTGCTTGGGGTGTGGGTTATGGTGGAACCAAACTGAGGAACAGCAATAAAATGTTTGATGGGGAAAGTGAAGTGAAGGAAAAGCTGCTTTCAGCTCAGGTCAGGCATTGCACTTTCACCAGAAGAATGTTCAGTAAAATTCCAAAAGGCAGGGAGGTTCAACAGGGGATGTTCCGTGGTGTAGCCAAGTTGTTTCAGTGCCATTGTCTTCATTTCCATGTCCTTCATTGTTCTTTCAAAGCTCACAGCTTTTTGTGTTAAAAGTGTTAACTTGCATTGGCTTAGGTTTTTTAATTTCAGTTTTTAATGAGGCACTGCAGGCATCCTTAATGTTCTGTTTATTTTCCATACAAACTTTGGGCAGAGAAAATCCTAAGAAGTGACTTTTCTCTCTCTGATTCAGAGTAGTGATTTGGGAGGCCCATTAAAAGTCCCGTTTTTGTGGGTGTGGTAGAGCAGGAAAGGGGGTGATTCATAGTTGCCTTCAAAAGTTATTCTGCTGCGAGATACAGTGGCAGATTTCCTCTGGAGTTGCTGTGGAAGTTGTTTGACTCACTGTATGAACCTTACAAATTGTTTCATCCTCGGAGCTTTGCTTCCTCAGGGGTGATGGTGTCAAAGACTATTTCTTGAGCTAATTTTACTTTCTAGATTTTGGTCTGTGGAAATACCTTCCAGGGAAAACTCTTGCAGGGTTTGTGTGGGCTGGCATTCTCTCTTTTCCCAGAGCAATTGGCTATTAACTTCACTATGTGCATATAAGCTGCATTTTTGGGCTTAAAGCTTTTTGTATTTAGATTTTTTTAATGGTTCAGAAGCATTGATTGTCTTTTAAATTCTCCCAAAACACTCCAGTGCATTTTATGTAAGTCCATTAGGGCAGAATGAGTTACCACACCAGTATTTGCTTGTGCACTTGGCAGTCACAGAGCACAGCATCAAAATCTTGGCTTTTGATGAGTTTGAACATGACTTAGTATCCGAAACCTTGGAAAAAACCAAACCCTAAATTGCAAGGAGGAATGTTTAGAAAACATGGATTGCATTACTCATAAATAATGTAATGCCACCCAGCAAGGCCGAGTGACAGAAATGAGGCAATTCGTGACTTCTGGCACAGGGAGCTCGATCGTTGGAACCGACGTTTGAATCAAATCTTCTCTATGCACTTTTTTAATCCAGAATTAGGTTATTTTTTGCTAGTGATAAGATTTTTCTTAGAGCTCCACAGGCTGGGCCTCTGAGTAGAGGCCAGGGGCCCTGTGAAAGGGAGTCTTTTATTTTTCCCCTCCGTGGAGAGCTCTAGCTCTCTCCGGTGCAGCTCCAGCCTGAGGCTGGGATCGGTTCCACAAATCTGCCTCATGTGCCTGAGCCACAGGAAGTTGTATTTACCTGCTCAGACCTTGATGTTGTGTTTTAGGCAGTTCCAGCACCCATCCAGTTGGATTTAGAACTGTTGTATGAACAAAAATAAAACTACTAAGTTATCTCTGTTCTTAGAGTTTGGCTGAATAATGCTGAAGCCATAGTGTGAAAGAGGATTATTTTTTTCTGGAAGCTTGGTGGGGATGGCCGTTTCTGTAAGGAAATCTGCATTTCCTATTAGCATCCTGCTGGAGATCAGGGTTTTTCTTCATTCTGTAAAAGCGTCGCGCGTGCCAGAAGCTGCAGTTTTTCGTACAATGCCGTGTTGGAAGCATTTGCAGGTTTCTGAGCTCCTGCTCCTTGTGCTCAGGCTTTATTCTGACAGGGCTTCTCTGGTTGCTAGGTAGGTGCAGCCAGTGTTTGGATGCAGGCCAGGCTTGTCCGTGTGCTGGCTGGGCTGCCGAGGAATCGCCGTCCCTTTTGGCTGTGTTGAAGCTTGATTGGAACATCGATACTGCCATGGAAGAAAAGATTCTCACTCAGAGCTCCTTGGAACCGTTAGAGGGACTTCCACAGTGCAGCTGGGGGAGCTTTACAAGCCCTTCCAAGTCAAACCATTCCATGGTCTTCAGACGTGCTCCCTTGCTGCACAAAAGCCTTCCAAGAATCTGTCTGAGACACCAGTTTTAGTTCCTGTTTGTGTGTTCATTGTTTTCTGTTATAAATCAGTGGAGTTTTAGTGCTGGGAGTTTTGCTGAGCTGGTTTTATGAATTGAGCTCTGCTCCAGCACACTGAACAGATTTGGTGTGGGGGTTTTACTTGGATTTTTAAGAACATCCTAGGCATATATCTGAAGGGACCCTGCAAGAAAGATGGAGAGGGACTATTTACAAGGCCTGGAGTGACAGGGGGAATGGCTTCCCACTGCCCAAGGGCAGGCTTTGATGGGATATTTGGAAAAAATTGTTCCCTGTGAGGGTCAAGAGGCCCTGGCACAGGTTGCCCAGAGAAACTGTGACTGCCCCATCCCTGGAAGTGTCCAAGACCAGGCTGGACAGGCTGTGGAGCAGTCTGGGACAGTGGAAGGTGTCCCTGCCATGGCATGGGTAGGAATGAGATGGTCTCTAAGGTGCCTCCAGCCCAAACCATTCCATGTTTCTATAGTATGTATGTACATGGTGTTGTAATGGCAGAGTATTGGTTTCTTTAACACAAGGAGGTTTCTCCTCTCAAATTTGTGTGCAGCTGAGCAGTGCAGAACTCTCTGGAAGCGCTGAGGAGCTGCTCCATCCATGTGGAGGAGGCCTCACAGTGCTGCTGCTTTGAAAAAGGTTTTTGAGCCTTGACCCACTTTGTTTTTGCAACGTTAAAGGACTTGAAGGAAAGGATCTGCCACTCGGGCATCCTGTACTCTGTAGAATAATAGTACTTTGAATATTTTTGGTTTGTGTGTTTATTTCCATGGGTTTGACACAGGACTTAGGCATGAGGTTGGGTGAGTCACCGATAGATCGGCGGCAGAACCATCCCCAGAGCGTCGCTGGTTATTTGTGTTTTATTGGGCTTTGAGTCACAGCTTTGAGGCCACTGACACAAGATTTTCACAACAGAATCTGGCAAGTCAGTGTCTCTTCAGGGTCTTCTGAGTGGGTGCCCCTGTATTTGGGCAGTACTGGCATACTCATATTTTTAAGTTCATTTGTCCAAGGGAGCATATGATTCACACTGTAATAGCAAAATAGCTGAATTTTTTAAAATTGCACCTGCACTTCTGATTCATTTATTGGTCACTTAAATCCTGTTTGCCAAAATCTGGGTTCTAACTTCTTGCAGGGTGGGTGGGACACACAAGGCTGACCAGACTAAAAGAATCTTTTTAATATTATCTTTATTTCAGCAGTTTTGTTACTCTCTCCTCCAGATAGGAACTAAATATAAACCGTGGTGTGTATGTCTTCAGAATATTAAAACAAACTGTTGACTTGTTTATGCCACTCAAATGTTTAGTAGTAACTTTTTTGCTTATGCTTATATTCTGCAAATATAGCTGGAGTAAATTCTAGGGCTGCTTTTACTCACGTGAGAGTATTAAAATGAAGGAAAAGTTGAAGAGAGCAGATGCTTGGAACAAGTTTTGCATAAGCAGAGTCTGTGAGCGGGTTTTAAATGATGCTTCTTGCTTTCTGTTTTGTTTTATCTTGTGGCTTCAAGCCAGCCCCACTCAGAATTTTTTAGTAGTTTTCTGGGTAGAGCCAGACAAATGTTACAGAGGAACTCTGATATTCACCTGTTCTCAGGACATTATTTCCTTCAAGATAAAACAGGGTTTTTTACAGAAATTATGGAGATTAATCAAAAGGCAAATAAAAAACATTTTTTTCCCAGCACTTGACATTTTAACTCTGCTATGAAAATGAGTGGGCTGGAATCGCTGCCTGCGTCACCGAGTAGGAGGAGAGGGGAGAACTTTGCACTACCTCGCTCAAATGCTCTGAAAATCAGGACATTTGTGCCACGAGTAACTTCTTAAAACTCAGGCAACCAAGCATTTTGGGCTTCTTGTTGTTTCTTAACTGGAAAGAGGTATTTTTAAGTGGAAATACCAGTAGAAATTCTGGGAAATGGGCTATGTTTACTACCGTTTGTAAGGCATGAGTAATGCAAATCTTAAGTGGAGGGTTCTCACCTAAATGATGCAAAGCAAATTAAATAGATGAGAATGGAACAAGTCTTAGCTACATTTCAAATTACCCATCTCAGTGCAGATTGGAATGTTTATCTGAGCAGTTCAGGTATTCTCCTCTAGCCTACAAGTAGTCAAGAGTTTTACAATCCTGCCTTAATCTGAGCCTTTTCTCTTCTGGCAAATTGGCTTTATGGAGGCAGTTAGATGGGAGGTAATGGTCTTACTCTTCATCCATTTTCAGCCAGCAAAGTTCAAGAATAATCTGTCTTCCAAGACTAAGCTGATATTGGCACCGAAATGGAGAGTTTATGTCAAATCCTGTGCATCAGTCCAGAGCTACTTCTGTATTTTTGTACTCTGCAGCCATTTGGTTATTACCATGGTGTTCAGAAAAGACTTGTAAAACTTACTGCCTTTTTTTTGGGGTGGTTTTTGTTTAAGTGTTTTTGGGTTTGGTAGTTTTTTTTTGGTTGTTTTTTTGTGTGTTGTTTTTTGGTTGTTTTTTTTTTTTTTTTTTTTGCCTTTTGTTTTGGATTTTTGGTTAGTTTTTTTTTTAGGAAATCTCCTAAACAAAACCTCCTGATTTTATTCATGCTGATTGCTGAAGCTCATGAGTAAGAGAACAGTCTAGATGTAGGTGGAGGATTAAGGATTAATAATGGGCAAGCATTTGTTTGGAATTTCATGCTGTTGGAGACAGCTGATTTCCTTTCCTCGAGTGTGCTGGCTCTGGTGCCCACCTGGTTGCCCTGGGAGTTGCTTCAGGGGATTCTGTTGTGCTTTCCTGCTAATGTGTGGGATTTTTCCTTCGCAGGACCCGTGGGGGCACAGCCCCTGCTCATGGTGCCCAGACGTCCCGGCTATGGCACCATGGGCAAGCCCATTAAACTGCTGGCCAACTGCTTCCAAGTTGAAATCCCAAAGATTGATGTCTACCTCTATGAGGTGGATATCAAACCAGATAAGTGTCCTCGGAGGGTGAACAGGTGAGAAGATACATTTGTCTTGTAAATTATATCAGTGGGAATGTTGAATAACATCAAGACCCATGAAAGGGAGACTTTCTTTCCTTTCCCCCACGTCCCAGCTGGGAGGTGAAAGTGCTGCTGCTCATTCAGCTTGAAGAGGAAGTCAATATTTATCATCTTACTGAAGTGCTTTGGGTTAATATTGCCTGGCCAGGACGTGGTGCTTGGAAGCTGCTGCTGTGCAGGAAGGCTGGTTTGCATGTGCTGAAAGTAAAGTGTTTCCATTCTGTGCCACTGAAACACCAAGGCCTCCCAAAGAATTCAGATCCCAAAGGCCTGTTACAGTTGGAGGTGTTCCAAAAGTCTACTGTGTTCAAAAGTTTTATCTACTACTCACATCAAGAAGCATTTTTGTATAAGCTGAAAATTTCATCATGGTTTTTCAAGTGTAATTTCAGTGCTTGTGTCAGGTTAATCTTTATTGCCACCAATTTATAATAAAGCAAGGAAGGCAAATCTATAATTGTGTGCAAATTCAATCAGGCTTTTACATGCTTTTGTAGAAACTCAGGTTATTAAGGACTTAAAGCCAAGCCTTTTTTGTTAGGGCATCTCATGTTTATAACCAGTATAGGCAGAATTCAAAACTCATCGAGGAGCAGCTAAACATTGCTGCAGACAGTACAATGAACTGGCAGAGCTTCCAGATGGGGGTTTGTGCTGTTTTTTCACACTACCACTTTGTGGGTTTTTTCCAAGGTAACAGTGTCCTTGTTTTCCATCATAAAGATGATACAAAGGCCTTGGTCATTTCTAGTAATTTCTGAAATTATTTCAGTACCAATATTCCCCAGTATCTGAGCATTTGCATTGATTCTGATTTTTTGCTGTAGTGTTTATTTATTTAGTTAAAGTAAGTGAAGCACCTTTTGGAATAGCAGTGGGTGTTTATAATTCACTCAAGTATTGTTTATTGCAACTACTTCAGCAAAACACCTGGGAGTGGGAGCCAGCTGGGGTCTGATCCTTCTTCAGAAACATCTTCAACGTAAATATCCCCTTTTCCAGGGACGTGGTGGACTCTATGGTGCAGCATTTTAAAGTGACAATATTTGGGGACCGTAGACCAGTTTATGATGGGAAAAGAAGCCTCTATACAGCCAATCCACTTCCTGTGGCCACTACTGGGGTAAGATAACTGGGAAGATGTTATATTGGTAGCAGCTTCATAGGAAAGGAAAAAACCCAACTGTAAATATTGCTGATTTCAGAAAAGCTGGATGTATCTTACAGTATCTGTACTGAAACTGAGTCCTTCTGATATATTTCCTGCAAATTCCAGTGAGTGTAAATGTTCACGTAATAGTTGCATTCAGAATTTCTTGTTTAATTTAGTAGCTGCTTTCTACAGTAAAATCTATTGAAGCATTTCATTTTGCAGACTGTAACACATGATCTTATGACGAATTGAAAAAACAAGCCAGAGTTTTTCTAGAATGTATTGCTTTTTTGAGGTGACAAAAAGTTATTCTATCCTCTTCTGCTTGGTCAGGGCCCAGTTATCTTCACCTTGTGCATTTGATAATGTACTTTCATCAAACATGTTGTGTCTTTAATATCTGAGTTTCTGAGTCTCTGGCCCAGTTATGTGAAGGAGTGGAATCTCAAGGTACCAGACTCCATATTAAAGAGCTGCTTTTTATTTGTTTCTTTTCTCCCCTGCCCAGGTGGATTTGGATGTGACACTACCCGGAGAAGGTGGAAAAGATCGTCCCTTCAAAGTGTCAATAAAGTTTGTTTCTCGGGTGAGCTGGCACTTGCTGCATGAAGTTTTGACAGGAAGAACCTTGCCTGAGCCTCTGGAACTAGACAAACCTATCAGCACTAACCCTGTTCATGCTGTCGATGTGGTGCTACGACACCTCCCCTCCATGAAGTAGGTTCACTGTCTTCCTGTAGTCTGTCTTTACCTGAAGTATCCCCACTGGGAGACCTTCATCCCCCATTTCTTCACAGGTGAAAAGAGAAACTGTTCATTCCCCTCTGCAGCACAGCTGGTGAGCTGAACGGGGAGCTTTTAGTCAGTCCTGTACAAGTGTTTCTGTAGGCAGAGCAGGTGATGTGTGTGTTGGAAAAGATCAAGAAACATGAGGCATTTATAATAGGCCTTCATAGAAATGCTGAGAGGTTCCAGTGAGCTGCAGCACTGCTGTTGTGGTTCTGCTCAGCTTGAGCCAAGTGATGGCAGTGCCTGTGAGAAGCAGTCTCTTTAATCCATTGGTGCATGCTTCTCATGTCTGAAATACATGGCTGGCACCAGGATCTGTCCTAACAAAGTCTCATTTGTTATTTTATCTCAGAACCCTGAAATTTAGAAAGGCTCATTTTGCTTGATTTGGTTAATGAAAGTTACTTTTGCAGTTTGTTGGCTTTAGGCAGCACAGTGGCTTTGCTCTGAGCAGATTTCTGATAGGTTTCACTGATAGCTCTGATAGGTTTCACTGCGTGTAGCTGACTCCCAAAAAAAGTGCCCTGTGGTTTTGTGGAATCCAGTGTTCCTCAGCTTCCCCAGATCTGAAGATGTTAGCCTCTGTACTAGTGCCTGTGCATTGCAAAACAGGAGGTGTGGAGGCTCAGGAGCAGCTGTTTTCTACCTGTGAGAGAAACATCATTTCATCTAGTTCTTTGTTATTGTTTTTGCTTCTCTCAATGTATCTTGTATCCAAAAGTTCCCTATGAATTAGGAAAAATGATATTTAAGGGTCAGGCCAGTATAGACAAGGCTGTTGTACAGAATCTGCTGTGGTGGAGATTCCACTTCCTTGAAGCAGAAGATCAGGAAGGGTAAGTTAACTTAGTTCTTGATTTGTTGTGAAAACTGAAAGTGGTTTGTGCATTGCTAAAAGTAGTAAATGTTTATGTCTAAATTTAAAAGCACTGCAATAGGAAGAGAAGCATTCAGAGTATTTTGTTTATACTTGCTTCTTGGCACAGATTGCTGGTGCACAAAATGCCAAAAAATAATAATGCTGTGTGTTATAATCTTTGTTACATGAATTTTATGTTTGGAAAACAAGAACATAAATGTGTGGCCACCTGTTTCACCAGGTACACCCCTGTGGGCCGTTCCTTCTTCTCAGCTCCAGAAGGCTATGACCACCCCCTGGGAGGGGGCAGGGAGGTCTGGTTTGGCTTCCATCAGTCTGTCCGACCTGCCATGTGGAAGATGATGCTCAACATCGATGGTAAGTGGAGATTCAGGGCTAAGATTCAGACCAGGCATGTATGGCAAAAGCTACCTAGAAATTCTAGTCTGTTTTCCTTGTATTTGTCATCAAGTCAGTGTTTGAGCAGAAATTTAGCTGCCATCTGAAAACCAATATTCCTACATGTGAAGGAATTGCACAGGGCTTGTTCTCCTGCTTAATTTCAGTAGTGGTGCATCCCCAGTGACAGAGGCAGGTTGCCTGCACGCTGTGTCTCTGTACAGCTGTACACAGTGCACGGTGCTCAGTACTTCCAAGAAAACTCTGTAAAACATATCCCAAACACTTCTCTGAATAGGGCTGATTGGGATAGGCTTTCTTATGCAAAAGCTTAAGCTCTGCAGCACTGCATTGAGTCCCAGATGAATGGATCTGAGATCAACTGGTGCCTGTGTCAGACTCCCTCGTCCTGGGAGCACTCGACTCTATTTAGTTGTTAAACCCTCATTGAAAAGTGTCAGTGGTGGAGGTGCAGGTGCTGCCTGAGGTTTTCTCTGATTTGCATTCAGTTCTCACTGTCTTTGAAATGCTTTATGAACTGAAGGTAAATTGTCTTGCTCTACACTGAGCACTCCAAGTCAGGTTGTGCTTGGAGCATAATAAAATATTGCAGATGTTGAGCTGTCTCTTGCTGAAAATTTGCAAGGCCGTGTGTTCTAGTTTACGTAAATTGTGGGTGATTCTCATGCGACTGAAGTCACACAGTTTGTTCTTGTAAAATTGCCTTTCTAACAGCAGCTGTGGTTTAAAAAAATGAATGTAAAAATGTCAACCTGTACCAAAAAGAACCAGTGCTGGTATCTATGTGCAAGGTACTGAGAGAGCTGCAGTTCAGGTAGAAGAGGATGATTTTACACCAGTTGATAATGTACTGTGCTGTTACTTTGTGAGGCAAGTTTTTCTTACCAGCAATAGCAAGTGTAGTAGTAACTCTTGGAGTAGGTGTTCTTCAGTCCTTCCTGTGAATGAGAAATTTGAAGCTCTTTGTAAGTGGTGATTCACAGAGCTGTTGTTCTGTTTCCTGATTTGAGGCTGTGAAATTGTCTTCAATTCCCATCACTGGAGGTTTTTCAGTTGTTCAGTTGGATGAGGTTCTCCATGGAAATGTTGCTGTGGGAGACAACCCACACACTGCCAGGGTGGGGAGAGTGAGGATTTGGGGTCACTCAGAAATCTGGAGCGGTCTCAGGCATCCGGAGGTGTTGGTTGATGCCTCATGTGAGCCTGGTAGGCTGCTCAAGTGACACATGTCTGAAGAATGTTGGGTTGTATGAGCACAGGTGTGTGGCAGGTTTGGTACGTGAGATCTGGAAAACTGATAAATGCTTGGGTTTTTTTTTTTCTGTTGTTGACATTTAAAGTTTTAAACGTGTGGAACAGTTTGTGTCTGAGCTCTGTCTAGTCCCACCTCGCCTTTCCTGCCAAAGGTGTTGTTTCAGTTGCTTATAACTTTGTCAAGAAGGTGATTTATGATCTTCCTTGTATGGAATAAGTCAGCTGTCCTACTTAAAACCAGTATATTGTCCCTTAAAGTGATAGTGTCATTAGCATGTGAGTAGATCAAGGGTTCCACTCCCCCTACACCAAGACAATTTGTGCTGTCAAAATAGTGCTCATGTCTACACCAGATATTGTTTCAGTAATTGAACAGATTGTGTAACTGACAAAATTATACTGTATGTTGAATTGTTAGCTTTTAATAGTCAAAAGTCTGTGGTAGAGAGATATTAATCCTGTCTCTGCAGCTTCATAGAGAGGTAAAAGAGAATGTCTCTCTGGGGTGTTGCAGCTTTCTAGAAATAAATGTTCTCTGGGGGAAAAACCCTTTTAAACCCCTGAAATTCCAGGTAGTAGCAGGATGACTGTACTGGAGACAGATGTGTCACTGTAGACTTTCTGCTGGCTTTTTGATATTTTACTCTTGCAGAACTCGCTGTTCTGTTTCTAAATGTGCCTGAGGTTTACATGGAATTCTAAGAAATACTGATGTATGAACTGCTTCACAATACCTTGACTGGGGTTTTTTACACTTCATATTTTGCTCTTTGTAGTTTCTGCCACTGCCTTCTACAAAGCACAACCCGTAATTCAGTTCATGTGTGAAGTCCTTGACATTCATAATATTGATGAACAACCAAGACCTCTGACTGATTCTCATCGGGTAAAATTCACCAAAGAGATAAAGGGTGAGTAGAAATGAGTTGGTTTTGTCCCAGTAAAGTTAGTTCTAAGGGAATTGTTTTAACTGGAAGCCTGGTTAACATGGATCAGAAGGGCCTGGAATTGCCAAGAGAATTGTAGTATCCATGTGTGTAGCTCTAATCCTGAGACAAACAACGCAGCTCTGCAGAAATGGGAGCTGAAAAACATTCCCAGTGGCTTAGAGGGAATGAGGGAGCATGTTGCTCATTGCCTGGGCAGAAGTAAGTGGCTTGTGCCAACCTCTCCTAACCCAGGGTCCCTGAGGCCACCTGGCATTGTGTGTGGACTCCTGTTGTTTCAGTGCTGTGGCAAAGTGAACATTGATTTCAAGGCTAACATTGATTCTTTGAAAGAGTGTTGTTATGGTGAATTCTAATAACTGATTGCCTTGTGGAAAAATAAGTACCACTTGCAGCTGAAGGCCAAATTCCATTCCAAAGAAATTGCACAAGCTGCTGGTTTGAGTGGTTTCACTCCATATATGCTGCTTGGGTTTGTATTTTCCCATATCCTTCATTGCAGTGTAATTTGCAGAGAGAAAAGCCTTGGAGGAGCTCAGCTCTTAAACACTTGATGCAAGATTGGACTCTACTGAAATACTGGGCAGCTAAAAAGTAAATTTGAACTAGTAATAAAGGGATGTGCTCACAGATGAATTATGACTGAAAAAAGACAGGAATTATTTTGTACTAGTCCTAACATGCCCCCTTTTACATCTGCCTGTCTGCCTTTGTTCTGTAGGGCAGGTAACTGGGGGTTGAGAAACTGCCTCTGCTTGATCTCAGATGCCTCAGAGGCTCTGTTACCATAGTCAGAAAATATTGAAAGTTATCCCTTTGCTCTCAGACTCATCTTTGCTGCTGTAGGGTCTGAGAGCTCCAGCCAGGACATGACCATTTACAGCAAAACAAGCTCTGCATTAGAGCTGGCTGTGTGTGAGCAGCACTGGGGGAGGGCACAGCCTTGGTAGTGTCACAGCAGAGTAATGACAGAGCAGGGAATGGGTTCCAGATATCTCTGTTTTCATCAGCCCTTGTCTGTGGTCACAGTGCCCCATGGTTTCTTTTCTCTGCTTTCTCTTAATGCCGTGTCAGGGCAGTGGTGGTTTATTTTTACTGTGCCATCCTCTGAGTAATACTGATGTTCTTGATGCAATTAGTGTTGTCAGGGAGCAGGGAGGTACAGTCAGTGCTTCTTTGTGATGTCTGTGTCCCCAGTAAACTAAACACAGTCTGGTGTCTGGTACCTGGGGACCTGATTTTGGGTGGTGGTCAGTCAGTGGTCCACAATCTGCCTGAACAGCAACAGGATGAGCCATCCAATTGATCTCTCCAAGGCCTGTAGTACTAGACTTCATTAAAATTAGACTTTACTGCTGGAAGTGAATCCTTTGAACACCCAGGCTTTGTTTTTAGCTGCTTTCTGTCCTGGGAGCTGGGGAAGGGCAGCAGCATGTGGATGCTGTGCAGCCCTGGTGTGATAAGCTCAGTGCTCTCAGCAGATGTTGAGGCTGCTCTGTGTGAACAGCACAGTGTGTGCACAGTCACAGCAACAGCCCCCAGAGCCTCCTGGAGCTGCCACTGTCATGATTATCGTGGGCAGAGATAAGTCTGGAGAGGCTCTGGTGTGTAGGCTGGGTGCTTTGAGACGAGATTCTCAAAATGCAAAATTAAACTTGGTCAGTGAAATTCAAGAAAATTACAGGATGAATGTGGACACAAAGCTGGGAGGAAGACAATAAAGCAGAAAACTGTTTTTTCATCCTTTTAATTTCAATTACATTGCAACTGATAGTTTGGAGAGATGTACAAGATAGAGAATGAGAACACGAGGATATGGTGAAAACTGCTGTCTGAGTTCAGTCAGTGCTTTTTAAATGAAATTCAGAAGACATTGAACATTAAATATTTTACGTCATGATTTATTTGTGAGGATAATAATCAGGATTAGTCAGAACTCAAATGATAATGAAAGCAAAAATGTTTGGCGAATAATAATTTCTTTGTGCTATTTGATGCTGACCCCAAGCTGTTATGTCCTATCATTTGAAACTTTGTGTCTCCTGTGTACATGTTTGTGCAGTTATGGCATCAGGGCTTTTTTTGATGCTTTTATGCAGGTCTAAAGGTAGAAGTGACTCACTGTGGGACAATGAGAAGGAAGTACCGTGTCTGTAACGTAACGAGGCGGCCTGCAAGTCATCAAACGTAAGAGGCTTTCTGTCAGAGCATGAAATGTGTGAGAGCTTCACACTGAGTAACAGGACCTGATATTTCATTCAGTTTGGGATGATGTTATTTGACAAATAATATTTTACTCAAATGTCTGTCTTCTCAGCTTTCCTTTACAGCTAGAAAATGGCCAGACTGTGGAGAGGACAGTAGCACAGTATTTCAGAGAGAAATACAACCTCCAGCTGAAATACCCTCACCTTCCTTGTCTGCAAGTGGGACAAGAACAAAAACACACCTACCTGCCTTTAGAAGTAAGAGCCTTATTCTGATAGATCAGCTGGGTTTGGGTGGGTTCTATCAGTTTGCAAAACATTAAGAATTTATGATCATATTGATTTGCAATACAAATATATTTACAGGTTTACATGTTCATCACTCTTTAATTTCACTAAATACTGTCTGCATCCTACAGTGTTTTGAAGTGTAGAAATACAAGGAAGAACAGGCAGTTGTTCAAACACATTTTGGTTTATAGTGGCAGCAGTGTCACGTGTGTACAGTGTGGTGTGATCTGAGTGCTTCTGGTGTGAATTAATGCTTCTGGTTTCCCCTGCAGGTGTGTAACATCGTGGCTGGCCAGAGGTGCATCAAGAAGCTGACAGACAATCAGACATCAACCATGATAAAAGCTACAGCCAGGTCTGCCCCAGACAGGCAGGAGGAGATCAGCAGACTGGTGAGTGCCCCAGTCCCAGCTCCATGGGACACTGCTCAGAGTGACACTGGGCTGGATTACATCTGTGCAAAACTTCCTAGTGTTTTCATTCTTCCTCATCCTTTTACTTAACAGATTTTAAATACATTTTTAATAGGATTTATTTAAAATGGCATGCAATGATAGCATGAGTCCATAGTACAGGCTCTTGCATTATCATCTCTACACTTAATTTACTGTGAGGAAACACTCAAAAAAATGCTTTTGAATGAACAAACTGCAAATGAGCACTTGAGTAATGAAGGGAATAGAAACCATCTCATCCATTGGATCTCATGGTAGTAATTGTTTTCCTTGGGGATGGGTTGATTGTGTTGAGCAGTCAAGCCTGAGCCTTTTTCAATGAAATTGTTGTAAGCACACTTCTGCAATGTTCCTGTTAGCCTATGGTTTGTTGTATGGATTGCAATCAGATACTTCTGTAACATGGAAAAATCTCTCCTAGGTGAGAAGTGCAAATTATGATGCAGATCCATTTGTCCAAGAGTTCCAGTTCAAAGTGCGGGATGAGATGGCGCACGTGACAGGACGTGTGCTCCCAGCCCCCATGCTGCAGTACGGAGGACGGGTGAGGCTCTGGCTTTTCCTCTGCTTTCCATTTTGAGGAGTGATTTCCTGTGCACCTTGACTCTACAGGGATCAGACTTTGAATAATAAACTCTTCTTTGTTATCCTGAAACTGCAAATAGCACTGGCTGCTGCTTTTTTAGTCACTTGAGTGTCTGTTGCTTTTGTTTCCCCAGAATCGAACCGTGGCAACACCAAGCCATGGCGTGTGGGACATGAGAGGGAAACAGTTCCACACTGGGGTGGAGATCAAGATGTGGGCCATAGCTTGCTTTGCAACACAGAGACAGTGCAGAGAAGAAATTCTGAAGTAAGGCATGTTGTGGTTCAGGCTTTGGACTGTTCTCTTAATGGAGTGAAACAGGAATGTAGGATTACAATGAGCATTTTACCTGCGTTTAATGTGAGATGTTAGGGTGACAATCTGGGCTGGTTTCCTTCCATGCTGAAAGCTACAATCAAAACATGATACTGGGTACACTGTGGGATGTTTGTCTTGTAATATCACTGTATATAGTCCCTTCTGACACCTTGAACAAAATACTGAAGGTGTCTAGACTATTTTTTAGCCCATTCTGGCCTGTGGTGTTTCACAGCTGTACACCCTTCACATAACAAACGTTTCTTAAATGCTGCTTTAAAAGCTGTTTGCAATCATCCTCCTTTGATAATTCTGTCCCTTTGTGCTTTGGTTACTGTGTACTGTTGCTACTGCAAAAATCCAAAAACCTCCTCCTCTGCAGGGGCTTCACAGACCAGCTGCGCAAGATCTCCAAGGACGCCGGGATGCCGATCCAGGGCCAGCCCTGCTTCTGCAAGTACGCCCAGGGTGCAGACAGCGTGGAGCCCATGTTCCGACACCTCAAGAACACCTATTCAGGGCTGCAGCTCATCATTGTCATCCTGCCAGGGAAGACACCTGTGTATGGTAAGGGCACACCTCTGTCTTTACCTGTTCAGGTATCATTCTGAGAAATCTGACGCCCAGCATATGTTAAAAATTACTCAGAACCATCATTTAGGTATTAGACACCACTCTTTTCTGTCTGAAGATAAGTTGGAAGCAGGTCTGAGTGTGCAGATAAGTTAGAAGTTACTGCACAGTATGTACACTAGAATTACTGTGACTTATCTAAGATCGAAATGCAGCAATAACCTCAAATGGACTCAAGTTGTCTCCTTGTGTTTGTTTCCCAGCGGAGGTGAAGCGTGTGGGAGACACGCTGTTGGGAATGGCCACACAGTGTGTTCAGGTCAAGAACGTCATTAAAACATCTCCACAGACCCTCTCAAATCTGTGCCTGAAGATTAATGTTAAACTAGGAGGAATCAACAACATCCTTGTACCTCATCAACGGTAAGACTGGAGATTGCATTGGGTTTTCTTTTAACAAATGTGGTTACGTTTACTACTTAGCACTCAAAATTTAAATGTGGCTAAGTTTTAAATTAAAATAGTCTTCTGATAATAGTATGTGATATTTGAAGTAGAATTAAATTCCTTCCAGTGCAGGCAGAGTGGTAGTTGGCCTTGCAGTAGGTCTTCAGCCAAGGTTCTTGTCAAATGTTTGATCAGTATCAAAGTTGAAATGAGGAACAGTTGTGTGAGGAAAAATATTTTAAAGGCAGTATAAGACCATCCTGCTGCTCAAGTCCTGCAGAGCAGTGTAATGTGTATGCTGGTGCTATAGCTCAGTGGGGCTCAGGAAACCCCCAGGCTCTCATGGGGCCTCTGAAGCCCCTGACTGTGCCACCCCACTGAAGCCCCGGGGCTGCTCTCCACCAGAGTCATGCCCCAGTTCTGGCAGTGTGTTTGCAGTGTGTTTTGGGCTCTGCTGGGGAGGGTTCCAAGTTCACCTCTGGTGCACAAAGATCCCATTGTTGAGCCTTGGCCTGGGTACCTGATAAGGCTGAGACAGAAACAACCCCCGCGGTGAGCGATGACCTTGTGGCGGCTCTTCAGCTACGAGTGTGACTTAGCACTTTTTTCTTTTTGAAGACCTTCTGTGTTCCAGCAGCCAGTGATCTTTTTGGGAGCTGATGTCACTCACCCTCCAGCTGGAGATGGAAAGAAGCCTTCCATTGCTGCTGTAAGTTTTATTAAATTTACATGGTGTTTTTTTTATTGTGGATAAATGTTAGAATAGTAAGTGCTACTCATGGACTATGTCCGTATCAAATATTTTTCAGGGCTTACGCCAGTTCTTTGTACACATTCCCAATGATATTAAAAATCATGTATTTAAAAGAAAAAACTGCCTTGTACTTCAGAGTGGTTCCTTACTCTTTAATTTTTAAATCAAGGTAAAATGGCATTGTTAAATAATATATTTCTGCAGAAATATTCTCAAGGAAATAACACAGCTTGGTGACATTAACTATGGGAATAAATCACACGGGACTCCATTTTCTTCATGGTGGAAAAAGCCCATTTTTTATTCACATAACCCTTTTTATACAGTTTTACAGACCTCATGTGTGACTCTCATTGGTTAGTAGCTTTCTTGTCAATTACTGTATTGCTTGGTAACAAGTTGTCACCCTGTATTCATTGGTCATTCAAACTCTGTGTATACCTGCAGGGAAAGTTGTTGTGATAGTTTTAATTTCTCTATCTAATGGTGTAAAAACAGATGATACAGGTGCTAGTTGTTTTTTTACCTAGGAATAGATTGTTATGTTAATGAACTGCTCACACCAGGATTGCTTTCACATAGGAACCTGCAAAATGCTGGCTTGACTTAGAAGAAAAGACAGGCCAGCCAGAGCAGGCCTGATTTTATGAGGCCTTTCTTTATGATTTTCCTTCCATACTGCAACAGTTAGCTAGTAACATTTTTTGGTTTTTTTAAAGGAGAAAAGTGCCATTAAAGGCCTGGTTTGGCAGAAATGTTTTTGATATTTCTTACCTTTTGTGTTGGTAGAGTCCAGGAACTCAAGGTGGTGATTGGAGGCTTGGTCAGCCTCTGCTACTTTGTCCCTTGGTATTTTAGTTGTCATTGATTTCAGGAAACTGGGTCTGTGTTTAAAGAAACTAAGGGAAGCTGAGGTATTTCTCAGTGTTAAAGGTGAGAAAATGTCACAGCAAAATGTCTGTCTGGATTATAAAAATACACCTTATGAGAAGCCAAATTCTGCAGGATGCTTGGGGGCAAAAGGTGTTAAACCTGTACCAAGTACAAGTTCCTGTTGAAAGTGTTACTGTGGTTGTTGTTTAGCACAAACATCTTGCACTCGCCGCTCTTGGCTTTTTGGTTTTCAATTGTTTTGGCATAGATTTGAGCTTGAAGCCTCCCCTGCTGCACTCTCCCCACAGGTTGTAGGCAGCATGGATGCTCATCCCAGCCGGTACTGTGCCACGGTGAGGGTCCAGAGGCCCCGGCAGGAGATCATCCAGGACCTGGCCTCCATGGTCAGGGAGCTGCTCATCCAGTTCTACAAATCAACACGGTTCAAGCCCACCCGGATCATCTTCTACAGGGACGGGGTCTCTGAGGGACAGTTCCGACAGGTTGGTTCAGTTGTGGGTTTTTTGAAAGATTCTCTTACTCCGTAGTAGCTGCAGGTCTTGTTTTGTACTGTTTGAGTTTCGTACATTTACACAAAATAATTGAGGAGAGAATTTTTTCATCTTGTTGAGTAAGAAGAGTTGCAGCTGTTTTCCTGTCTGGGAAGTCTTCAAATTTGAGAAATTACATATCTCTAAATACTTTCTGAGATTACCAGCTGTGTGCCAAAGTTGTATCTGTTAACTACACTGAGTTGGTAGGTGTTGTGTGTAGAATGCAGTGGAAGGAAAACCTAAACCCCTCTGTTCTTGTGCTTGTAGGTTTTGTATTATGAACTGCTGGCCATTAGAGAAGCCTGCATCAGCTTGGAGAAGGATTACCAGCCTGGAATAACCTACATTGTGGTGCAGAAGAGACATCATACACGGCTGTTCTGTGCTGACAGAACAGAAAGGGTAATCACTGCCCTCTGAGGAGCCTTTTGGGAAAGCTTCATAAGGAGCTTTTAGGCAGCTGGAGCAAATACTAGCATGGACTTCTGTTCATCTGGTTGAATGTGCATGCAGGGAAGTGTTGATTTGATAAAATGGGGCCCCAAATTGAAAAATCGTGGACCTTAAGTCTGTTAAAAACCCCCACAACATCACATTGGAGCTAAAATCCGTGTAACTACTCAGGACCAATCTCCAGCAGTTATAATAGAAGAAAGTACAAAATGGTGGAACATTTTTTCTGAGTTAACCAATCCAAACTGAAGCTGACAATTCTAAATACAAATGTCTGCAGCTCTTCAGTCTGAGCTGGAAAGTTCTGATGTGCTGGAGGTGCAGTGTTGTGTAAGGTGCTGGAGAGCCATCCAGTGTCCTTGTCAAACCTCCAAGGCTGATGTAGTGGCACATTCCAAACAGTTCTGTGGTGCTTGATGTGCCGAAACCTTGCCAGTGGTGAATAGAAACTTGTATTTTTCATTACAGCTGAGCTGTATAAACAGCTGAGGCCTCACTTACCAAACCTCTTCTCTAGGTTGGACGAAGTGGCAATATTCCAGCTGGGACAACTGTAGATACAGACATTACACACCCCTACGAGTTTGATTTTTACCTCTGTAGCCATGCTGGAATACAGGTATGGAAGCTTTGTGTAAGTAAATGTGAATTTAGAACAAATTGGTTTTCTTCTTTTTGTGACACCTGTTTACAAACAGTTAATTAGCAGGGAAATATTCTTTTAGCTTGGTTTTATCTGAGATAAAACATTATTGTGAGACTTAGAGGATGATTTGCTTAACAGGTGGTCTCTGCTGCACATTTAAATTTGCACTAATGATAAGTGGTGCTTTTTAAAGTTTGTTTTTAAGAGGTCACTTTATTTTGTAACATGTATTATTTCCAAAAAAATACTTCAACTTGTATCTGGCTATTTCTTAAAATGTAAAAAAAAAAATTTACTCTTTAAATTTTTATCGTGTGAGTCTGACCATGTTGTCATCAGTTTTCTTTAGGTTGGCTGGGCATGACTTCTTTTCCAGTTTTGAATCATTTCAATGGGTTTTTTGTCAACCTTTACACTGTGTCTGAGCAAGCTGCTTTCTGGCCCCGTGGAAAAAGATTTGTATCAAAGTTGAGACAGAAATGCTGGGTGTAGTTGCAGTTCATTGTGTTTTATATAGCAAGGTATAAAGAACCTCTACTAAACTGATACTCCAGATGTATTTGTTTTAAAAGAAGAGACTTGTAGCTTGGCTAAAGCATAGCTATTTACACAATTCAGGTGTACTGTAAGATTTAACTTGAGTTTCTAGTGTTCACACTTGCAGTTAGGGTGCTCAGGAACTGGAAGGATTTAAAAGCACTGGGTGTTTCTCTGGGATGTTTCGTGAGAAACAGTTTAATTGAAGGTAGGTAAAAGGAGCTGTAATTGTGGTTTAGTCATGTTAGGAGCAGATGTTGATCACTGAGGGTGATGTAGAAGGGGTTTTATGCAAGGAAGAACATTTAGAGCAATATAATGATGTATATGTTAGACTTATTAATCTTTAAATACATTTAGGCCTGACATAAAACCGAACTCATTCGGCTGCTGTTACGTAGGAGTTCACACTAGGTAGCCTGGCCCTTTCTGGACATCCAAACCTGACTTGTTTATGGAAACCCAGAGAAATGACCCTCCATCCCCATCTCTGCAGGGAACCAGCCGTCCCTCCCACTACCACGTCCTGTGGGATGACAACTGCTTCACAGCAGACGAGCTGCAGCTGCTGACGTACCAGCTGTGCCACACGTACGTGCGCTGCACCCGCTCCGTCTCCATCCCCGCGCCCGCCTACTACGCTCACCTGGTGGCATTCAGAGCACGCTACCACCTCGTGGACAAGGAACACGACAGGTACATCACAGGCTGTGCTCAGGGTTTAGTCCCCACTGCTGTCACCTGCTGTCAGGCCTAAAGGCACCTGACTGCGGGTGGTTCCTGCTGGTCTTGCGTTCAGTTTTTGTTGCCTCTAGGAGTGATGTTAAGATCATCACTGCTGGCAGCTGCTGCTCTACATCAGACCAGAGTGGGTTGGTGGATTTTACTGAATAACACTCAGATTAAAAGAATTCAGTTACTGAAGTATTTTGTTACAACTTTGACGTGGTCTGAGGCAATCAAGCTACCGATTTAATTTTTTTTTGCTTTAGGGTCAGGGTAGTCATGAATGAACCAAATGTTAAGTGCTTCCACTTATCTAACTCTGTACGTCAGAAATATTTTATAACCTTCAAGCTATCAGTTTATTTATAAAAGGCTTATTTTTAGATGAACAAGCTGAGCAGCCATGGTGAAGAGATTTGTCAAAAGCCTCAAGGTTGCTGAGTGAATATGAGAGTTGATATTTCTCAGTGTCCAGCTCTGGCACTGGTGCTGTGTTGGTGAAGGGTCTGGAGGATCAGTCCTTTGGGTAGCAGCTGGGAGGGCTCAGTCTGGAGAAAAGTGGGACTTTCTCAGTCTCTACAACTCCCTGACAGGAGCATCCAACCGGGGCTGGTTTGGCTCCCAGGGAACAAGGAACAAGTCAAAGGGAGGGTGTGCCAGGGGAGGGTCAGGTTGGACATCAGGAGGAATTTCTTCATGGAAAGGGTGGTCAGGCATTGGAAGGGGCTACCCAGGGTGGTGGTGGAGTCCCCATCCTTGCAGGTGCTTAAGAACAACAGAACCCTCTGCTCTGGGCTGGATGATGAGGTTGGGATCGATCACAGGTTGGACTCGACCTTTAGAGGTCATTTCCAACCTCAGTGATTCTGTCAAAGAGACGCAAAAGCAGCTTTTTTGATCAGAATTAATACAATTTACAGCCCTGCCTGTCTCTCCCTCGTTCCCTGCAGTGCTGAAGGGAGCCACGTGTCAGGACAGAGCAACGGGCGAGACCCGCAGGCCCTGGCGAAGGCTGTACAGATTCACCAAGACACCTTACGCACGATGTACTTCGCTTAAGTCAATGACCCGGGAGACACTCACGGAGAGGAGAACTGAGAACTTAAGCCACATACAATGTATGTTTCCAGGGGGTTGGTTTAGGGGCTGTGCCTCCCATCGTGCTGGAGCTGACGCTGTGCAGGGGCGAGAGGCTCACCCTTAAATTGACACGAGGAAGATTGTTTACTTCATCCAGGAACACAGCACTATTATGCAATATGAAACCAGCCAACTGCTTTTTTGGGGCGGGCTCCTGTGGGAAGCCACCGCCATCATTTTTTTTTTAATTATTATTTCTCGTAGTTTAACCCTCTTCTGCCTTTACCTCAAGTTGCTCGGCAGCACAACTATTGTTGCAAAAAAAAAAAAAAAAAGATAGTAATAATAAACTAAAATCTATTGTGTAATTTAAAACAAAAAAAACAAACCACCTTTTAGAAACAATCACAGTGATTGTTTGGAGAAGGGAAGTGTGCAAAAAAGAAAATAAGTTTTTAACCCCCGTGCTTTGAGGAATCTTTCTCTCAGTATTGCCATCGAGCGGTCGAATGTGAACATATCCAAGTGCATTGGAGTGTACAGCACTAGCTAGGTAACAGTGAGGGGGGAAGATACTTTGCACACTAATCCAATAATTTGAACCTAATTTAGCCAATGGCTGCCTTTGTGTCTTTTCTCACAGCTTTGGAGTTCTCAGCTCCAAGAGTTCCCTTTCTAAAGCAATCCAAGAAGCTCGTGGTTCATGTGCAGGCAGTAGTGACCCAACTCTTCTTGCTCCCTGGGGGAATTTACTAAAGCTGCTGTTTTACCTAGTCCAAAAGTTTCAATTTTTTCCTATCTGGCAAGTCAAATCTTTTGAAGCTTCATGTGAGATCCAATGTCCCAGGATTTCTGGGATGACATACAGTAACCACCAGAACTGAAACTTTAGAGCTAAGGTCTTTTTGGAAAAAAAAGAAGCCTGCTACTTTACTTGCTGCCTCTCACACCTTAATGTGATTCATATGTATGTGTGTTTGAAGTTTAGCTTCCTTTTGTTTCTTTTATATTTATTAGAGTAATAATAATGCTTTAATTTAATTATTACAGAACATATGGTCAACATCAACTTTTATTTTTTAGAAATGTAATCATGTTTATTTTTAAAAAAAGAAACTGACAACTTGTTTTGCTATCTTTTAGTGCAATAAGCATTCTAAAGAAAAACTGTGTCCATTGAGCTGTACTGAAGCAGTGTCTGTACCACAGACTGTGGGAGAATGGACACCTCCAGGATTTTAAAAGGACAAAGTAAAAGCCTTAATTTTGAAAGGAAAGTTTTATAGTCAGAAGGAATCTTGAATTTTCCTTTTTTAAATCAAAAAAAAAACTACAAAAAATGCTTCTAGACTTCTGCAAGCTTTACTTGTCGCTGCAGTCTTTTGATTTAACAAAGGAATTGGCCTTATTTTTGGCTTTGAAATGTGGAGCATATTTGAATTAAATGGAAAGAGTTTTGTATTAAGATCTCAGTTTTTACATGCTTAGTTAAACCTATTTGACATCAGTAAAATGTCTGGAATTAATAAAAGTTTTTAGGCTTTTTTCCTCTTTGATAGTGACTTTCCTTTTAAAATTAAGTTATTGGTAACTTCATTTCACTTTGCAAATAAAGAGGGCTGGGATAGTTCTAACATGTTAAATCACCGAAATGTGAAACAAACCAATGGGACTCTTTCATTCCACTTTAAAACCAATGTTTAAGATGTCAGAGACGAGCATTTATTCAACGAGGGGACTGGGGAGTTTTGCACTTTGTAAACTCGTGAACTGCATTTTTGACTGTTTTTATTTGCACTGGTTCATAGTATATTTACTGCAGCTGTTTGTATGGGCATTGCTGTGATCCCAGCCCTCCCGACCTCCACCTGCTCTCACATGAAAACCTGGTTGGTCTAAGTAGCTTCTCTCCTCGTTCTCACCAAATCTGCTGTTTGCCAATATACTGTATTTTGAGCCTAAAATCTGAGCCCATTTTGCTTCACCAGGCATGAACCCCATTTTTTCTGCCAGAAAAACCAAGTACTGTATTTTGTGCGTTTGTATATTGTATGGAAATGTCCGTAGTGCTGTTCACAACACTGCAAGAGCTTTACTAACAGCTGGTGTAGATACCTATTTTATCTCTTAAAAACAAGGAAAATAATGGAAAAGACTAACTTGGCAAAGCTAAAATTGCACTGGAAACAGTGGTGGGGGTGGGCATTGGCTGGGGGTGCTCGGTGGGGGTGGCTGGGGGGCTCAGCAGGCCCCAAGGGGTTGGGGACCCCCAGAGCCAGGGGGTCCCAGCTTGGAATGCCCTGTCCCTGTGGGTGCCTTTGGACACACCTGGTGCAGGGAGGGGGGTGTGACAGAGTCCTTTGAGCGAGGTGGTTTCTCAGTGAGTCTCTCAGATGTTTTTCCCAGTCTGTGATCTGACACTTTTCTCCTAAAGCTCTCTCAGTAGCAATGCTGTTTGTAAAAGGTTCAGCTTAAGCTTTATACAGAAATTTCTTTTGAAGCAGAGAACTTTTTTTTTTTTAAAAAAAAAAACCAACCTATTTTACAAAGAGTTCTTGTGGACTTCTGGCATTTAGCTGAAAATTCCTTTTTACAAAGCCTTCTAGCTCTCCTTTCAAAGCTGCTTCTCACCCTGCCCACGCTCGGTGACTCGGATTTGAGAAGCTTTTTTGCTCACTACTTTCACCAAAAACTAAAGAAACTTCATTGGCAAAGTGACTTCAGTTGTCAAGGTAACATTGTACCTGGTTTTCATGTGAAGAGTATTTGGAAGTTTTAATCTCTCTTCTTGGTTTTGCAAATATCTACGTCAAGTGCCGATACTTCTTTGTATTACGATATCAAGTTACTGACGTTGTGAGGGCCACACATTTATGATGCTGTAGCTGCTATATTTATTTAAATGGAGATGGACAATTACTGCACTAAGGAATGAGGAGAAAAGCAAGGAATCAAGGTTAGTTAGATATCTTGGGTTTTTTTCAAAAGAGAATTAATGGTGTGAAATATCAAGTGTAACAAAGGGTGCTGTCATTTTAACTGAGATTAAATAGCCAGATATTCTTCTTTTGTTTAAAAACATATATATTTTGATGTTTGCAGTTTGGGGGTGGGGGGTCGGGATAAATGGTACCTCATCTGTGGTGGCAGTTTCCAGTATATTTTCAGAGTATATGGATTTCTTTTATTTTTGTACCTGCTCTCCTTGAAAAAGAAAAAAAAAAAAAATCTCAAATTTTATGTGCTGTTTGAGGAAATCTTGAGTGGCACAGCAGATCCCCCTCTCCAGCTGAGAGCTGGCTGTGGATAGTCCAAAGAGGGATAGGGGCACAGGCTGATGGCTCTTCTTGCTTTGCAGACACCGGCCTCGGGTTTCTGCCTGTGGAGAAAAGCAGTTCCCATCTCCCAGACACTGCACCGAGACCTCACTTGTACTGAACAAGTGCCACTAAGTGCTCCCGCGGTGGGGGCAGGCCCAGGGTATCACCGAGCCCCTCCTCACCCAGCCAGCCCTGCCCAAACCTCCCACGTGGCCACTGCTAGATGCAGAGCTGGAGAGAATCACAGAATGTTTGTGCTTGAGGCGTTAAACTCGCGACATTTGCCAACGGGAGGAGTGGCTCCGCTGTAAGTCGCCTTTTTCCCTTCCTGGGGACTTGAGCCGTGGCCATTTGACTCAGGATCGCTGTGTCACTGTTCCATGTGTCATCTGGTTACACGTGTCCAAAAGTTATTTTTATAGTATTCATTCCGGTGTTCTTTTGGGAGTTTGGCCACAGAAATGGTTTTCAGGAGTAAAATGGGTTTCTGGAAGTTGTCAGTCAAATTATTTCAAGATGCTCTTGGTCCTAAATGATTTTCACTTCTTCATGTACAAATACTTGTCCTATAAAATGCTCAACATGAGATACCATGTAGTCTGCTGTAAAAATTCCAGCTACAAATACTGGTTTTCTACTAGTCTTAAAGTTCACTCTGGTGAAATTCCAAGCTCAAGCTTAAGGCCTTTTTTTTTTTTCTTTTCTTCCCTTTTCTTACACTTTCTTCATATCTTGTTCACTTTTGGTATTTTCCCTGTTTTGTGAACTGAGGGTATAGAACCTTACTCAAAGCACTTTTATAACCAAGGAATCAAAAGTTCAGATTATGTGTGTTGGACCTGTAAATTCAGTTTTCAGAGGTGGTTGTTTCTGAATGGCCATCGTGGTCTCTGGTCAGGCTGGGCAGATGCTCTGTCCCTTTCAGTGCTGTGGAGTTTCATGGCTGCTACTGGCAGGTTGTTTGGATCTAGTGAAAAATTCCATAGGGGTGTCAAAGGGAAAGATTTCTGTCTGTCTTTTCTATCCAAAGATGGTACTTTAGGTTGATGCTGCGTGTTTGGAATATAATTTTTGGTTTGGCACATGTTGAAATCATACTTCAGTTAGCCAATTCACTCCTTGTTTTTGTAAAATATTGTGGTTAGAGCTTGAGCTCGTTGATGCTTTCTGCTGGTAGAAAATTTTGTACTTCCTATAGTTGAGGTATGAGCAAGATGGATTCAGGATCCTGCATCTTACCTCCCGAACAGAATCTCAAAAATCCTGATCTCCGTGACACTAAAACCCAAATTGTTGTCCCCTGAGTAGACAAAGGTGCATATGGTGGGGAAGGAGTTGTAAGGGAGAGGCTTGTGAGGGAAAATATCTAAGCATTGGTTTGGCAGGAATGAGGGTGTTGGGGAGACTCCATCCACTTTCCATCCCACGTGCCCTGGCCTTTCCCATCCTGTCTGAGGTACCCCCTCACCTGACACGGGTTGTTACCGTAGGGTCCTTTTCAAACAAAGCAGTTCCACTGTTTAAAACTTGGAGTGACTTTTATTTTTTTTTTTAAGCAAGACAGTCCTCAGAAAGTGCCTTTTTAGAAGATGGTGCTGTAGATTTTTATTTTCCAGTTGTACGTGGCTGCAAATTTAAGATAAATTATTGAAAATGCCAAGTGTTTGATGGTATCTTTTAGGTACTTTCAAGCATCAGCTTCTCTGAGTCAGGACCAAGAATAACCAGGAAGGTGTTTTCCTTTGGAGGGAGAGGCATTGAGGAGCGATCACCAAATTCAGCTGGTAGGCTGGGGTTAGGCTGGGTTTGGTCAATGTGATTTACCTCTTCATTTTGAGGGGACTGGGGCTTGGGGTGTGGGAGAATCCATGGGGACCTGATTGGTGCTGAAAGGAATCCATAGCTCCTGAAGCATGTCTTCTCTTAGGGGAAGCACATTCCCAAAGATGGAGACAAACTGAAGGGTGTCTTAAGAGGATGGCCTGGGAGATGGCTGGTCCTCACATGGCTCATGTGTGTTTGGGATGGATCAGTGTGTCTTCTGACTGCCAGCTGGGAGCTGGATGCTCTGGATGGGAGCAGCTTGGTGGCTGGGTGGTGCCATGAGGGGGTGGGTCCATGGTGAGTTTGGTGAGCGTTCCTGCAGTCAGGAAAAGCTGTAGACTAGACTATTAAACACTGCACCTCAGTAACCTTGTAATGCTGCATAAAGTAATAATAATAGCAAAGTTGTGCTTTGACACTGTAATGTGCTTGCACATGCCTGCAAAAAACACTTCCCTTTCCTTTGGTATTGGTCTGAGTAGCAGTTTTGGGACTTTTCTTTTATGATGAGCCTTGTCCTTTGTTGTGGTGTTTCTGTATATTTATTGGTGGTCTGTGTGCAGCTCATAGGTCTGTGTGTCTGCTCTGTGTGTTGCTTTTAACACTTATTTTTAGGCAGGAGAAGTTTGTGAATGTTTTGGTTTTCTTCTCCAAAGAAAGTTGGCTTAACCAGTCGTGTTTGAGAGGAGACAATGAACCCGCTCGCCATAGACAAGTGCTTCATTGGTACCTTGTTTCTCTACAACTAAAATGATTTTATGCATTTTATTACTGTTTATAGTGTTGGGCATTCAAGATGTGGAATAACTTGATGTCAGGATATTTTTGAATAGCAGGAGCTTAACCACAGAACTCACTGAGTAATTCCAAGTGGTCTCTTTGCAGGAATGTGTTCGTGTCCAGACTTTTTCTAGGATTCAGCAGAGCTTCTGGACATCATCAATGAAATATGTGGGGTTCAGAGTCCCAGCACTGGGCAGTGCCCTTGCTGAGTTGCCCACACCTCGTTGTTGAGGGGATGCTGCAGCTCCCCAGGCACAAGTTGACTCTCTTTGCTCTGTAATTTCTTCTGATTCAAGTTGGAGACATGATCCAGTGTCTCTTTAGCTTGTACCAACTTTCTTGTCTTACTGCAGTGCCCAACGCCACTGTGTTGGTATTAAGCTTGCCACGATGTTCAATTATTTTATATTTCCAATTTCTCAATGTTACTAGGCTGGGGTTTAGAAAGCATTTTTCAGTCTAAATTCTGAGCCAAAACTGTGTCTCCTGACCCTTTTAGTAGTAGCTGTTTCTATCTTTTAGACTAAAAAGGGCCAAAAATCTTGCACCATCAGCTTGTTTGCAGCAATACTCTCCACCTCCTCCCCTGCCTGTCAAC